GAGGGTGAGCTGAGGGACGGACAGGCACCAGCGGAGATGGGGCTGAGGAACTGACTGGTCCTTTAAGAGGAGGCGGGAGAGGGAGGCTGGGAGGGGACACTGGAGGACAGGAGCTGGACGGAACCAGCGGAGACGTAGGAGAACTGGGTAATGCCTCCCCAAACCAGTCTATTAAATCCACTTTGAAACAGTCCATTAGTTCCTCAATGTAGTCCAGTGGCCAGTTGCAGCTCACCCTCAGCGGCGGGAGTGTGGGCAGGGCTTCCCTCCAAGCCTTCAATCTCCACCAGCACTCCCTCGGGAACGGGCGATGTTGCCGGCTCATGCACCTGGTCAGAACGGTCTTGAGGCTCATGCTCCTGGGCGACGATCGGCTCAGTCGCGGTTTTGCACGCTGGCTCTCGTGTCGCGGTGGGCTCAGGTTCTCCGTCTGCGGTGGGCTCAGGCATTTGCTCCGTGCAGCGGTATGACGGTTGGCTGGTCTCTGGTTCGTGAGTGGGGCTGGAGATGTCCTCCTCGGCGGGGCAGACGGAGAAATACAGTCCATTTCTCTCCAGCACCCACTCCACGAAAGCGGCGAAATCCCAGGCAAAGGAGTTGAACGGCTGGGATTGCCATTCCGGAAGAGGGGAGAAACAAAACCAAAAAAGAAAGAAAAACGCCGCTAATATTACTCACTTTGAAGGTCTGCTATTCTGTTACGTAATGGCTATGGAGGTGGAACGAGGAGACGAGGAGACACAGGCGTAAACTCAAAATACAGTCTTTTAATCTTTGCTTCGGGGGAATACAGGGCAGGCAGACACTCACGTAGCACATAGGGGAAACAACTCAATAGCAGACAAAGGAATATTGGAGAACACAGGTTTTAAATACTGGGAACGTAATCAGGGAGAAACAGAAACAGGTGTGGAGCTAATTAATCAAAAACCATGGAAACAAACAAGGCAGGAGAAAGGAAACACAGAAAACTAAACCAAAACAGATCATAACCATAACAGTTGGACACTTCATGCACTCAACTACATAATTAATACACTAAATGGAAGAGTACATAGTGCATAGTGCATAATTTGGGATGCAACTTACTGTATGATATTATTGTTCCTGAATATGGCTTGGGTCCGTGATTCAATTAAAGTCTATGGAATTAATTTTTTTTTCATTGTTCACTATGTGAAAATCATAAGCAGATCACTTAGAAAAATAATAGTTCACCAACTCTAAACAGGTTAGTGTGGTATTTAGAGTATTAATGTCAGTGATAGTATAAATGATAACTGAAGACAAATGGTCAAGTAAAATATAACAATAAAATACAGAATATTAATTTATAATAATTAGATATGAATAAATTAAGAATCACTATTCAATTATTAATCATTTCATTTTTTTACCAATTTAATAATGATATAAATTATTGTTTTACCTACCAGCTTTTGCCTTGTGTTATCTGGCACTCACATAAAATTGAAATGCAGCTTGAGCCTGTTATATGAGCTTTGGAAGTAAACTTGGCCTTTTAAAATGTCTGTATATTTATATTTAATTATCACAGCCGTTTCTGCCCAGGCGAAACAAAACCGTGAGCACGTTTTATAGCCCATAAATTAGGGTGACCATACGTGCCATTTTCCCAGGACGCGTCCTGGCTAGGATTTCTATATTGACTAAAATATCTAGGTTTTGGCTTTGTTTGCGAGTGCACGCGTCCTGGGAAAATGGCACGTATGGTCACCCTACCATAAATGTGTCTGTGAACACACTACCTTCAGCTTCCTGACGGCCACACGGACCATGTCTGTCCCTTTGGGCTGCTCCACCTCTGTGATTCCCAAGAACTACATGAACACACAGTAGACACAAACCACAAACCTTAAATAAAACATTAGTTAAGTAATATATCAACAGAATGTAGGATGGGCTGATAAGCATAGGTGTGTGTATCATTTTGTACTGGTGGCTGGTGATAAAAACTGATGAAGGTCAGAGAAGGGGAGTTCAGTGAGCTAGCATAACACTCCCTCCACACACACTCACACTCTCAAGTGCATTTAGTACAACTTTAAACATCACTACATCCATCATAGAAACAGCTTCAGTGAAGCAGGCTATCTCTCACACACTTACGCACACACATCTCACATCCCAAAGTCAAAGAAATGGTGTACACAGTGGTACGCAGTGTGCATTTGCTGTTTAGGACGGCCCACAGGGTGCCAGACCATGTGTATGTCCCCCTACTGCGTAGTAAATATAGTAGAAGCAGAGAGAACCACAGGAACAAATAAGAAATATGTCTCAAACTCTACCTTTGTATTATACACAACATGACTTCTCACCAAGGCTTCAGGTGTGTGCATGCAGGGTTTATCTGGATCAAAAAAAAAGAGAAAAAGAAAAAGAATTTAGGTGTAATGGCAGATGACTGACATTTTCCAGCAATCAATCAATCTAAACTTGGATTATTTCTAAATTAAAACTACAGTTACTGACTTAACAATTGCCTGAGCATGTCATAATTTAATGCAGGATTTGCATTTACATTTAATAATACTTATGCTGCTCCATGTGATTAAAAAGTCAGTGTCTGTGTATCTTTTCTGTGCAAAGATGGCCTTAGTCATTTAATGCTTAATTTGTTAGATTTTTTTGTGGATGTCCCATACACCACGGAGGCAGCATAAACGTACTGTAGTTACACAGGAATCACAATCACTGGAAACTTTAAAGTTGATTATTGATTCTCCTGCACAGCTGACATTGCATCTTTACCTCAGAGACCCCTTAAAATCTCTCAGCATCAACATAGGTCCTCCCCCATTTTAAGTGCTTTAAACTTTAAACAACAAGCCCACAAAAGACTCAAACACACACACACACAAAAAAGTTTTTCTATGTTTTTCTTTCTAAGCATTTTTGAGCAAGGTGTATAATGTGAGGATAATAACACTGTCATGCAGTACTTTGAATTGTATAAACATGAATAAATTAAACTGATTACTCTTGATTTTATTTATGCTGCTGTTGTTGCATGTGTTGTCACTTTCAATTACTTTTCATGTGGTGAATAATCAGACCTCATCTTTTAATTAAATGTGTTCTTGTGGCTGTCACTGTTCTTGTGGTTGGTGTGTTAAATGTTGAGGTCCATGCGCATCTCGTTTAATTAGACCAGGGGTTTTTAAACTGTTCAGGGAGTTTAGGGACCCTCTGTGGCTGCAAGGGCGCATTAGGGGTCCACAGAAAATGTTAGAAAAAAATAATGTAGTAAATGATTATGTTTCCAAAATTATTACATAATAATAATAAAAGTTAAAAAGTACAATTTACCTCTTTCTAAACACTTATTCGGAAATCATTAGGTAATAGGGATGTAACGGTACACGTTTTTGTACTGAAATCGTTAGTTTTTTAGTTCGGCATGCATGTGTAACAAATGAATGCAGTGCTGTTTTAATCACTGCACAAGTGGAACTTTGTTGTGTGCTGAATTCTGTTTGCAAATGAGAGTTTCCCCCCCTGGGATGGAACAATAACTTTTATATCAATATACTTTAACGTTGCTGACACATCTGAAAAAAATGAAGGACACAGAGTGAGCTCAAAAGTGCATAACCCATTTGTCCTAAAAATGAGATGTGCTTTATATTAAGTTCTTCAAACTACTGTAACCTGTTACAGAGGAGGCTCCCGTACCGCCTCCTCCGCACCACCAGAGGGAACCGTCTCCTGAATATTAACCATTCCCATTCGGACTCCAATTCCCATCACCCCTCATACCTGGGACTGATTGCTCATCCACACCTGCACCTCATTTACACACACGCACACTCTTAAAAATAAAGGTGCTTCACGATGCCATAGAAGAACCTTTTGGTCTAAATGGTTCCATAAAGAACCTTTAACATCTGAAGAACCTTTCGGTTTCACAAAAGGTTCTTTGTGGAGAAAGAAGGTTCTTCAAATTATAAAAAGGTAAGAAAGAAATGGTTCTTTAAAGAACCTTTGACTGAATGGTTCTTTCTGGAACCAAAAATGGTTCTTCTATGGCATCGCTTGAAGAACCTTTCGAAGCACCTTTATTTTTAAGAGTGTATAAGCCACTCACACACACAGAGGCTGTGTCCGAAATCACCCCCTATACCCTCATTCACTATTCCCTACATTAGGTCACTAATTCAGTTCACTAGAAGGAGTGAATGAAAACGAGTAGTGAATTCGGACACTGAGTGCACCGGAAGGAATGCCGCTTTTGCATAGTTTGTGCTTGCTGTTTATGAATCATTTGAAACTAGCACACTAGCAGCTCCAGTAGTAAGATTAAAGGATTTATCTTGAACTCTGTCACGGAAATTATGTATAAACCCTAATCAAACAATTTAATAATCAATTTACAATGAATTTATACCCGTGTTGTACATTATGCTGTACGCCATGGATGAGCGCTTTGTAAAAATGAACGGATTGATTATTCAGCTGCGGGCGCCATCTTCTGGTGAGATGCGGGAATTCATTCGGCGTGTGACTCTCACGGTGCATTATGGGCATTCTCTAGCCGTTGAGCGTGCACCAGTTGTACACTCGTTTTTGCAGTGCATTGTGGGATTGAATGAGAGCACTCGAGAACGTCCACTATGGTTTCTGACACCACTAAAAATGGCTGTTCCCTCAAATAGTGCCCTATTTAAGGGTATAGGGGGCGATTTCGGACACAGCCAGACTCTCTGTGAAGTCTTGATTTGCCCTGGCTGTCATTTCTGAGCGTTATACGTTATATACGTTTGCTTTTGTTGTACTTGATCTTGGACCGTTTCCTGTTTATCTGATTGTTCTCTGCTTGCCCCGATGGTGTTGACTGTGTTTGCTAGCCGCCTGCCCTGATCGCTCGTCTGGTATTCGACTCTGTCTCTGTCCAAGCCCCTGCTGTTCTGTCTTGCCGGTATTGACCCTGTATTCTCTGACTATTCTAAATAAAAGCTGCAAATGGATCCAAACACGTCTGACTTGTCACAACAGTAACCCATAAGCCTACAGTTTAAAGCCTCTTGCCCTCTTGTCAGAAGCGTTTGCTGTTTAATGCTTTTCAGACCTGATTACCTCAGCACATAACTTTTATGGTTTATTTTTATATTCTTGTCTGTAAATGTTGCATAAAGGCTCATCCTAACAGAAAGCAGTTCTATTTAAAACTTCACAGACGATGTGAAGGAGTGCTGGTGTGCACACGCACATCAAAAAATGGTACATTTTAATAAACATTTTTAAATATTTTGCATCCAAAAGTCAAATCTTTTTCCTCATTTACAATTAACAGTGTGTTGTTTAATTAAAAGGAAATTATCATTTGGGTCAATGTCATCAAAAAGTCTGAAAATTCTTGATTAGAGTGGTGAAACACTCACTTATTTGTGTAGTGTACTGTAATTAATGGAAGTAATAATGTGAAATAATGTGAGTTGGTATAGTTTTGTCATGTTTTGCTGTCACATGTCCTCGCAAGTTATAAGCATCTTATTTATTACAGATTCCTCGAGGGGCCCTCTTGGCACTTCGGGGACCTCTGCGAATGTCTATACTACTTTCAGGGCGGGACGACCCTGATCAGACAGCAGCATTTTTTTCCTAGCAGGTTGACTGACATGCCGTGCTTTATATGCCATGTAGGTGATGATGAAGAGCTCCTCATTGTTAGTTTTTTTCTCCCTTGTGCTGGGGGTGAAATTGTGGTTTGATGAATTGGGAAAAGGAGACCTCTATGGTCAGTGCATGCTGCTGTGATGTAGACCTGACTCAGCAGGTCACAGCTTTAAAAAATTAAGAGAAACTGAAAAAACAGTGGGAGAGAAAGAGAGGGAGACAGAATGAAAGATTAAGGGACGGAGAAGGAGACCAAGAGAGGCAACGAGTAAGAGAGATGGCCCTTAGAGTATAAGAACTGCGATGCCGACAAAAACCAATAATATAATGAAGCTGACAAGCCGTCCAATCCTGTGCCAAAGAGTAGACAGCTCTCTCACTGTTTTTGACACCTTTATAACACAGGCTCTTCAGTATTCACCGCCACGCAGGTGTACACACACATACACACACTCACACTTTAATCAGCTGAACTCTCCTACTGCACACCAATTAATGCTCGACACAGAGAGGACGAGCGCTCAGATATTCCTAGCTGCAGTAATGTCATGAGGACACTGGGAAAACCTCAACTGCTTATAGTTTGGGTGGCACAAATGTCTTCAAACGAAACTATATTTGAACAGTTTCTCAAGAAAATGCCAGTGCTTTTTTTGTTTTTTTGTTTTAGCAAAACTAACTAGCACAGCTGACACTTTTCCTATTATCAGGGTTGGAAATAGTAAGGAATTAAACAATTTCAGTTCTGATTCTTTGCAGTTCCGAGTCATTATTGGTTTCAACAATTTTTGTAGTACGTTTAATAGAGAAATATTTGAAGAAAATAGAAATACAAAAACACAAAACGTGAATTTAGTTTTATAATTACTGCCCTCACTGGAGTGCTGCCAAATGATGAGATCAATCATTTTGAACAGGACAAATAAAAAAATACTATACAATTAAAAAATGTGGTAATATTTAATTCATTTAATAAATTTGTTTGTTTGTTCATTTATTCCACAAGAAATCAGACTACAATGGTCACAATGTTTTAGATTTAGATTAAAAACGGGGTTAATATTCAGTTGTTTAAAAAAGTTTTCACTCAAAAATAACAGATCAAAAGAATCTTTAATTTGGCAATCAGACACTGGTATTGATATATATTTCTCACTGAGTGTAGAGGTGTTGCTTAGTAGGAGCTCCATGTAGCATGCAAAAAATCATTAATAGAACTGAAGCTCATGAAAGTCATTCAGTTCCAGCATTTAAAATGAAAAATTCTTGGATCCCCAAAATTATGTGCCAACAGGGGACCTCATATAGCAAAAGATATAACCGGGGACCCCATAGAGTCAGATCACTCTGACTATTGGACTTTAACCAGGTGCAAGAACCACTGTACAGCAAAAAACTACAGTACAACTTTTGTACTGCAAAACTATTAGGAGAACACTCCAAGTTCAGAAAATAGGAGTCTCTATTTTAGAGAAAACTGCTGAGGCATGCGACCTCCAAAATTAATAACAGCAATCTACTAGGTCATTGCAATATTTTGAAATACTAGAGCAAGTGAGTGAAACCACAACAGTGCAATTAACGGATTCATGTAGCTCATTGGTCTTTGAACTCAAAAATAATAAACGTGGTGCAAAGGAGACAGGTCCATTTTTAGATTTACCTTTTGCTTTTCCCTGTAGCTCGCGGAGTTATGAAAAGGTTACCGCACTGCAGGACATCTCTGTCCAGAGCTCAGGACTAAAGGTCATTTTATTATGATCCCACCGATTAGCTGTCAGTTTAAACACAAATAATCATAAAGGGTAAGCATTCAAAACAACTGGTGAAATGCAAAAGCACGGATGAGGTCACTCAACGCGCATTAAATTAGATGATAAAATACAAACTGTTGCCAAAGTTATTACCCTGCCAGGCTCATTTATATTGTGAACATTATTTTAAATTCGACCTTTAACTAAAGAATAGCAAAACTCTGCTTTTTCACCTAAATAAAGGTCATCCTTATAGTGGCAAAAAACAGCCTGTTCCACGAAGCTAGTTTCTACTGGTCAGCCAAGTCTGATTTGAGAATTTTAGAGGTTTTCTGGTTAGTCAGGGAGATTTAAAGCAGTTTAAAACAGCTAAGATCTTTCTGCGAGGACTTAAAAAATCCAAGATGAGTGTAGGTTGTTATAATATAAACATTGATTTACATAGATTTACATCAATTTACATACAAAGCTTACATAAAAAAATCACAATATTTTTTATATTTTTAAATTTTAAGATACAAGGCATGGATTTCCTAATTCAATTCTCATTCAGAAACTCCTGATTCAGTTAAATTCTGATTTGATTTAATGGGATAGTTCACCCAAAAATGAAAATTTGATGTTTATCTGTTTACCCCCAGGGCATCCAAGATGTAGGTGACTTTGTTTCTTCAGTAGAACACAAACAAAGATTTTTAACTCAAACCGTTGCAGTCTATCAGTCTTATAATGGCAGTCAATGGGCTCCACGGCTTTGAGAGTCAAAAAAAACATACATAGACAAAACCAAATTAAACCCTGCGGCTCATGGCGATACATTGAGGTCTTAAGACACGAAACGATCAGTCTGTGCAAGAAACTGAACAGTATTTATATCATTTTTTACCTCTGATCCACCACAATGTCCAACTGTCCTGAGCACGTTCACAACATCCGGCACGTGACGTCAAATAAATACGGTTGGGCAAAAAATTCTACGTTGTCTGATGATATATCAAAATCGACTTCCATTGTGATGACCAGTGCCAGTGAACACGTCCGCAATCTCTCTGCACTGTGTAAATAATGAGTGACGTATACGCATGACCAGTGTTCGAACTATACCGTGGACTTTCGGGGAGCCCACTTTTTTTTTTTAATAACGGGGGTGGGGGGTCGTGCGCTTGGCTTACAATGGCTTACAAAGATACATAACAGCTACAAGTGTATGCACTACTTGCTTTATGCAAGCACTATATAGGATAAATCACGATACAGGATTTACCCTATTATACTTTATCGACACGAATTGATAGGTGAAACAACAAACAGCCACCCACAAATAGTCTATAAACAAAGCATCAGGCTGTCTTTGAGTTCACATGAATAATTCCTCCGTTCACTTAGGCCTAAAACATCGAGAGTCACGCAGACCTATAACAACCCAGCCACAACACTTAATTGTGAATAACATGCCTTAGCACCTACCTTAACACAGAATCGACCACAGAGTCCAACGTTTATATTTTTTCTACGAATCTTTGAGTTAACATGTACTAAACATGAGTGGAATTTGCACCGCAGCGCCCCCACACCTTGATGCTCATGACAAGAATAGCATGTATAGTTATCTTTATTGAAGTGAATTAGGTTTAAATCGCC